AGAGAGACAGAGAGACAGAGAGAGGGAGAGGGAGAGAGACAGACAGACAAAGAGAGAGAGAGACAGAGAGAAAGAGAGACAGAGAGAAAGATACAGAGAGAGAGAGGAAGAGAGGGAGAGGGAGACAGACACACATACACACAGAGGGAGAGACAGAGAGAGAGGGAGGGAGAGGGAGAAGGAGAGACACAGAAAGAGAGAGAGAGAGAGAGAGAGAGAGAGAGAGAGAGAGCACCCCAGCAGATGTCAATAAATAGATGTTTGGCTGGATATTATTTTTTTAGAAATGCCACTGACTTTTTTCTCTTCTCGGGTGAATGAAAGAGGAAAAGAAAGAGATTATTCCGAATGTGGGTTCTCTGTAATTCTAGCTCCCTTTCTGGATAGAAGAAATTCTTGGTTCCTCTACTCCACATGTAAAGGGTTCCGTCTTTCCAGAATCTACTGCATCCTGGTTTGTCTTTAGCAGGCAAACATGTGGGACCCAAAGAAATACCCTCCCCATTTACAAAGAGCAATAAGGTTGCTGGATCGGACACCCCCCCCCCAACGCCTCCTGCATTTTACTGCCCAACTGCATCAGCATAGAAATGCTTTCCTTTAGATAGGCTAAAAGCATACAATGAACGGGTTGTAGAGAGTAGGCATGTCTCGCTGAATGAAGAGAAGGACTAGCTGTGACACGATAAGAGCCTTCCATACTTGAGGGGCTCTCATAGAGAAGAGGGGATCGACTATTCTCCAAAGCACCTGAAGGCAGGACAAGAAGTAATGGGTGGAAAGCTGATCGAAGAAAGATCCAACCTAAAATTACGAAGAAATTTCCTGACAGTGAGAACAATCAACCAGTGGAAAAGCTCGCCTCCAGAAGTTGTGGCTGCTCCATTACTGGAGGTTTTCAAGAAGAGAATGGACAGCCATTTGTCCAGAATGGTATAGGACAATGATGGCTAACCTTTTTGCTATTGCGTGCCAAAATCTGGGGGAGTGTGGGGTGGTCACGCATGCGCGACCCCACCCATGCTCCCCCTGCTTTTGGCATGTGATGGCATGGTGGGCACGGTAGGCCCGTTTTTTTGCCCTCCCCAGGCTCCAGAGGCTTCCTAGGAGCCTGGGGAGGGCAAAAACAGCCTTCCCCACCTCCCCGGAGGCCCTCCGGAGGCTGGAAACAGCCGGTTTGCCAACTTCTGTTGGGCCCAGAAGGCCCAAAAATCAGCTGGCCAGCGTGCACATGTGTGCTGGAGCCGAGCTAGGGCAACGCTCGCATGCCCACCAATATGGCTACATGTGCCATCTGTGGCATGCGTGCCATAGGTTCGCCATCACGGGTATAGGATCTCCAGCCATGGGCACGGGGTTGATTTAGAAGACCTCCAAGGTCCCTCCCTTCCAACTCGGTTTTCTGTATTCTGCATTATATTGTATTGAGAAGCTTCATCTGTTGGCATTGACAGGTCTTAAGGAAGGTTCAAGAACAGACACGGACACTTTTCCTGGTCACTTGGTGACTTTTTCTTCTAGTTGGACGACATCTAACTGACGGATAGATGGGCTAAACTCTTAGTGCTGTGTTCCCCGGTTGGATTTATAACAAGTGGGGTAACCCTATGAAGAGTCATGTATCAACTGATACTTGGCACTAATCTAACACAGGGGACAATTCAGAAGTATTCGGTAATATGGATAATACAATGAAACTGTATCGATTCCTAGGAATAAGACATGAAATTACAGGGCAACCTTAAGATACAGTCTTCGATATTTCCATTCTAAATTTGGACAGCCCCTAAATCCATGCCCAATCTTCTTGTAAACCTGTATCCAGGACTGGGGAACGAAGCCACCGTTACTCTTGATGGTGGCTACCAGAATTTTGAGATGCTTCGATTCAGAGGAACCCTTGTCTGACAGATTCATATTTTGGTGCCTGTGTTCAGAAGCTCGAGTCTCGGGTTTTGCTTGGTGGCAAGTTGGAGATAACAAAAGCCATCCTCCATCTCTTAAGACGCTTAAACATTTCATTGAAAGGCATCGATCTATTGGTGGCCCTCAGACCTTGGTCTTCAGTCCTAGGAAATGTGTTTATTGTGTTGGGTGAATACAGCCATGGCCATGTTGCAGGGGGAAAAAATCCATCTCCATTTTAGATAAAAACATCGTATGTATGTATGTATGTATGTATGTATGTATGTATGTTATGTATGTATGTATGTATGTATGTATGTATGTATGTATGTATTATTGCGATTTATATGCCGCCATTCTCCCAAGGGACTCAGGGCGGCTTACAAAAAACAATATCCAATACAAATCACAATAAAATTAAAATCAACAACCCAATTAAAACAATTTAAAATTATAACAACGTACACCCATAATGGATCAGTTAAGTTGACGAAAGAGCCACGTCTTCAACTCACGATGGAAGGAAAGGAGGTCGGGGGCTGTCCTGAGCTCAGTGGGCAAATCATTCCAGAGGGTCGGGGCTCCCACAGAGAATGCTCTCCTCCTGGGGGCCGTCAGCCAACATTGTTTGGCTGAAGGCACCCTGAGGAGGCCCACTCTGTGAGAGTGCACAGGACGGTGGGAGAGCATGTATGTATGTATGTATCTATGTATGAGAGTATGTATGTATATATGTATGTATGTATGTATGTATCTATCTATCTATCTATCTATCTATCTATCTATCTATCTGTGTATCTATCTATCATCTCTCTCTCTTATCTGTCTATCTATCTATCATCTCTCTCTTATCTGTCTGTCTATCTATCTATCTTTATATCTGTATGTGTGTGTGTATCTCTCTCTCATCTATTTATCTATCTATCTATCTATCTATCTATCTGTCTGTCTGTCTGTGTGTATATATCTATCTATCATCTCTCTCTATCTGTCTGTCTGCCTGTCTATCTCTATATCTGTGTGTGTATCTCTCTCATCTCTCTCTAATCTGCCTGCCTGCCTGCCTGCCTGCCTGCCTGCCTGCCTGCCTGCCTGCCTGCCTATCTATCTATCTATCTATCTATCTATCTATCTATCTATCTATCTATGAAGATGTAGATTTACTCCTTAATCTGCACTAGATTTCGTTCTGTTTTATGGGGCAAACGACCAGTGGAATGTCATTCTAGAGTGCTCAGATTCTAAGAACATCTTCAGTTCTCTCTGTTGCCTTCCAAAATATGCTACAATTGGGGGACAACTAACAGAAGGGCCTTTTCGGTGAGGGGACCCTCGTTCTGGGATCTCTCCTTATATGCCTAGGGAGATTGAACTGGTGCCTTCAGATCCAAAGGAAATATTGGTTTTGCAGATTTGCAGGTATCTTAAGTTCGGGGGCCTTTCAAAGAGTTCTTTTTGCTCTTCCTGTTGATGCTTTCGTTCTGGAGCTGTTTTAGCTAGGCCTTGGTTTCATATTTATTTTGCACTGCTATTTTGTTTTGCGTTGTCTCTCTGTGCGTAAATGCACACCCTCCCACCCTCAAACCCATTTGCACCACAAATGTATTTTATTATTTATTACATCTCTTTGCCCCCCCCCTTTTCATTGCAAGGTGACTAGGAAAATGTGTGTGTGTATTGTGATTTTATACATTGTGTATGTATGTGTGCATGTGTG